TGTGCTTCCTCACTGCCTCCCTTAGTCTCTCCAGAAAGGCAGTAGGATTTTCTTCCATTCTCTGTGCTATAGTGGACATCACTGAATAATTCACGGGCTTCTTCCTAGTTTTCCTTTGTCCTTCTAGCACACAAGTTAGCAAATGTCTGTGGCACCAATCTCCATGTTCTGATTCTGCGTCCCAGTGAGGGTCTACACTGGGAACTGCCTGCTGGCCTGGGGGAATCGTTCTCTTTCCTCTGTTGTCATCCTGTCATTGACCTGACTGAGATACCAGAGATCGCCATACTCTCGGGCTGCAGTTATGGCAGCACTTCTCTCATTTGGGGTTAGTGTCTGATCTAGCAGTAACATTATATCTCTCCATGTCAGATCAAAGGATTGTCTTAACCCTTGTAAAACATCAGTATAGCCATCAGGGTTATCTGAGAATTTACCTAAGTCTATTTTAATTTGCTTTAAGTCTGAGAGAGAAAAAGGTACATGCACTCTGGCTGAGGCAAATTCTCCTCCTCCCACTGCTTGGAGGTGGCGTAATCGGGGAATATTGGCACTTCTTGGTTCACTGTTTACCCCTTTGTCTATCTCCTTTTGGATGTTTGGGTTAAAGGGGGGTCCTTATTAGCTGGGGAAGGAGTCGGGGGACACTGGGATAAGGAGGTAGACTCTGAGGGCTTCCTGTAGGGCATAAACCACACTTTTTACATAATTGCTAGTTGTCTCTTAATGAAAAGAAAGTTTGCACATATGGCACTTCACTCCATTTGCCCTCCTTTCTACAGAAGAGGTCTAGCTGTAAGATGGTGTTATAATTTATACTTCCCTCAGGAGGCCAGGTTTCTCCCCCTTGAAGCGGACATCGTGGCCAGGCAGTACTGCAGAAGAATATAGTTCTTTCTTAGCGTCTGAGGGTCAAATTGGTCCCAATTCTCCAGAATGCATCTTAGGGGCATTTTTGCCTTGTGGAGGGGGCACATTTCCCATCTGAAAAAAGAACACAGGGATGTCAGCACCCCTAGTCATTTTCCGATGAGCATTAGTCCTAGAGCGTCCTCTATAGTTCTAATGTTTATTCCTTTCCAGGGTGCATAACCACCCATGGACCTCTGCTTATCGGATTAGTTACACTCACTGATGTAGCAGTCCTGTACCCCTTTTCCCGCCTTTCTTGACCACAAAGAAAGGGGTCCAGGCTGCTGGATTCTAGTGGTCCTTTACCAACATGCCCAACATTGCCTTTGTGCTCAGGGGTGAGTCCTAGAGCTGGGCTGGGTTCCTGTGTATTTCATAACAACCCAGCTGCCCCATCAAGATGCATTCCCGTAAACAACAGTTCTTAGGCAAATTCATTTCAGAGAGGGTGTAGCTAACCTTTTGGGTCAGGATTGAGATAGTCTTTTGATTCTGTAAGTACTTTAAGGCTTGGCTGAGTGCAAACAGCTCCCGCGTTTGAGGAGCCCAATTATTAGGCACTTTTTCTAACTCTGCTTCCACAGGAGTCTCCCTATCAATTACTGAACACCCATTGTATTTTTTCCTCAATAACCACTGTGGTTTTTTCCTCAATCACCTGGGAGGAACCATCTATCGTCCTTCCTGAAGGGAATCCCTCCTAGGTCTGGTCGGACCTTTGTATGGTAATTAAGATTTAAATCCCCTGTTAGGAAATCTGCTGGGTTAAGGGAATTGTCAGTGGTTGGAGTTACATTACCCTTTTCTAACAGAATAGCCCCATACTTTAAGATTTTTGAGTTAGTAAGCTACCTTTTTGCTTTTTTGACTTAGAATAATTCTGAACTGGTGAGGTATGCTCGCAATGAGATTTCCCCTAAAAGTTACTTTTCTACTTTTAGCAAAGCAGTTGCCACTACCGAGTGAATACATTTGGCCCATCCGCAGGTTACTGGATTAAGGATTTTTGATAGGAAGGCTACGGGTTGTCAGTGGTCTCAGTGTTCTCAGGCTACGACCTTGTTTACACTGACAACAGGGTAGTATTGGAGTGTTACAGGGTCAGGGAGAAGACCTTCAATTATCAATTATAGGTTTTAAATTTACCCTGACTTTTAAAGGAATAGGGCACACTGTTTTTTCTTTACTACTTCTTTCTCTCTTTGACTCCCTCTTTGTCTCTCTGTCTCTCTCTCTCTCTCTCTGCCTCTCTCTCTCTCTTAGCCATGACAAACTTGGTGCCCTGGCAAGGGTTGTGGGGAACGGGTCCCACCTAACTGCCCATGTCGAGAGCTGTATACCTAAATCGGGAGGGACACCAGGGATAAGACTCCCTGGGTTATAGCCTAGGTGCCTAAGGACGTAGTATAGAGCTTCCTTAGATCCCTTTGGAGATACAACTTGCTAGAGGAAATGAAAGTGAATCATTAGTACCTAGGAGGCAGGGATCAGAGGAAGTAGATTCAGAGGTAAGGAGAATTTGGGGGCTATACTTTCAAGAAAGTCATGGTCGGGACCCAGGAGGTATGGGTCAGAAGGAAAGGTAGGGGGGCACGCATGGGCAACTGTTGAGTAGAAACTTCTGGCTGTGCCATGATCTCAACCAGCTACTGCCGGGAGTTCGGGACGACAGCTTTCTGCCTCTAGTTGGCCCTCAGCTTCGCCAAGAAAATTGAAAGTGGAAGCTGGCTCCAGGCAGACCAATGTCCGCAACCCAGAAGGGTTGCCCTTCCCCAGACAGCCTCACACCTGAGTCTTAAGTCCGGCAGCCATGCTAATCGTTTTTAACTGGCTGACAGGTGCCCAGTATTTTCCTCCAATTCTAAGGAAGCATAGGACAGAATAGCAAGCAAAAGTGGTCCAACATTACTCACAGCTTTGGAGATCCCTTCGTGGTTGCCAAAATGTTACCGGGGGGTCCTTGCTCCCAGAGCTCCCAAGATGGTGGCAGGCCGCTTCCAAAATGGCGGTGGGCCACTTCCACGATGGTGGCAAGCCTCGTGTTCTCTGACCTGGGGTTCTTGGCCTCACGAATTCCAAGGAATGGAATCTTGGGTCATGCGGTGAGTGTTATAGCTTTATTAGAAGCCATGGGTCACGGAAGAGAACCGTGGAACCCAGTGACTAGTGTTCAGCTCGATTAGGATGAACTCAGGCACTTAGCCATGCAGGAACAATGGCAAACCTTTAGCCTGATCAGGAGTGGCAATGGACGCCTTGCTGAATCAGGAGCATGGCGGACACCCCGCCAGATCCAGAGGGATGGAAGTCAGTGGCGGGTCTGCAATGGTGACAAACAGCAATGGTGGACGGCGAGCGAAAGCTCAGCTCAAGCCATAACAAACACGGACCAGAAGAGTGCACTTGTAAGATTTAATAGAGTGAAATAGAGTGAAAACAGAGCTCCCATACAAAGGGAGGGGACCCAAAGAGGGTAGCCTGTAGTTATGGTTTTAACTCAATCAGCTTTGCTCTCAAACACCTCCTTTGTGCTGCTATTGGCAAGTATATGATGCATATGTTGTATTTCTATATGGTCCAGTCCCAATAATACATCATATAAATATTATTTACATCGTTATTTAAATCAGTTAAGAGATGAAAGGACAAAAATATGCATCTATGCTACTTTTTATAATTACATAATTATCTTTACTAGTGTTCTTTGTTTGCTCACGTGGGCTTGAATGACAGTCCTGAGGCACTTGCTTTCAATCTGAAAAATTTCCTTCAGAATTTCTTGTAAAGTACAATCTGCTAGCAAAAATTCTTTTTGTTTATCTTGGAGAGTCTTCACTTTTCCCTGATTTTTGAAAGATACATTTCTGAATATAAGATTCTCATTTGACAGGTTTTTTTTTTCCTTTAAGAACTTTGACTATGTTATCCCACTGTCTTCTGACCTCTATTGCTTCTGCTGAAAAGTAAGCTGTTAGTCTTACTGGGGTTTCCTTCTAAGTGAACTGTTATTTTTCTCTCACTGCTTTCCAGATTTTCTTCTTGCCTTTGACTTTCAGCACTTTTACTATGATGTGTCTGTGGAACTGTTTGTGGATTTAACCTGTTGGAGTTCATTGTGTTTCCTGGATGTGTAGGTTATTGTTTTTCAGTAAATATGGAAAGTCTTCAGGGGTTATTTCCCTAAATATATGTTCTGTTCTCTCTCTCTCTTTTCACCTTCTGGTAGTCTTATTATGCCTATGTTGCCACATTTACTGGTGTCCCACAATTTTCTTAGGCTCTCTTCATTTTTCTTTATTCTTTGTTCTTTTGGCTTGCATAATTTTTATCAATCCATCTTCAAGCTTGCTTATTCTTTCTTATGCTGGCTCAAATCTACTACTGAACCTGTCCAGTGAGTTTTTATTTTGGTTATTGTACTTTTCAGTTCCAAAATTTTTATTTTTTTTATAATACCTATATTTTTTTATAATACCTTACTGATATTTTCTATTTAATGCAAAATTGTCATCATACCTTCCTTTACTCCTTTAATTATGGTTTCATTTAGTTTTGTAAATATGTTTATACTGTCTACCTTGAAGTCTTTGTCTGATAAATACAATATCTGATCATTGTCATGGGTAATTTCTGCTGCATGCTTTTGTTTCAATGTATGAGTCACACAGTCTTGGCTTTGAACACTTTGTAATTTTATATTGGAAATGGGACATTTTGGATAATATATTGTAGCAACTTTGAATACTAATGCCCTCCCCCCACCCCAGGCTTATTCTAACTTCCCGGTTTATTTGTTTAGTGATTGACCATATTATTTTAATGAAGTCTATGCCACCACCCACTTCTGATGTTGCTCCTCAGGAAGGTTCAGCTTTAGCTTTACAAACCTGGGATGGCAGTGGTTTTGGTAGAGTTCTCTTCCCCCTGACCACACCCAACTGTTAAACCCCACTAATTTCCAGTTTGTTAATCCATTATTAACAATCCCCTTAGGCATAAATTGCTCTACAAACTAACCCAATCAAATTCTGTCTCCTTTGAAGAAACAGTTTCTGAAGTTACTGTTTGATATGTGTTCTGACACTATGAGGGCCCTTCCCAGATGTGTTCTTCCCCAGTTCTTTCCTGCAAACTAGAAGGCCTACAGTTTAGCCTGGATCTTGACCTGCCTCCCAATCATCTTTCACCACAATTTTCACTGTTCTTGAGAGCACCCTTGAGCTTGAACTTCTTTATCCTCTTTTGCAAATGAGGTAAGTTCCTTTAGGAAGAGATTAGGAACTATCTGTTTTATGGCTTGCTTTTGCCTTCCAGCCAGAGCTTTGACTCTGGGGGATAGGACAATGGCTAGCTTCTCTCCCAGTGACATTTTCATTTCAGGATCTGAATGCCCAGTGGAGGCAGAGCAGAAGCCTGGGGTCCTCTTGGACCTTACATTTCCTGATATGGAAAAACTTCCAATCAATCAGCTGGAACAAGGGTGATTATGGCCCACCCTTCTCAGCAGGCCATGCCAAAGTAGAGTCTCCACTCCACAAGTAGGAGCTGGGTGAAAGAATGGAGCCCCCATTACCTAATGGCACTTGCTTAGAACTTGGAAAGGGGTAACAGGAGAAGATTGCAAGGGGACAAGAGGAAAACTTTGGATGATTATGTCCATTGTGGTGATGGTTTAATAGATGTATACTAAAACTTAACAAAAATCCTATATATCAATAAAACTGCCAAAATTGGAAAGCGTAATATAATAAAGAGTTAGTACAAGCAAAGTTCATACAAAAGGAAGGGAGAAACAAGATACTAAAAGGAATAAATTCAGTCATGAACTCAGGTATCTTCCATCTGTATCTCTAGATAGAAATCTTGGTTGCAGAGGAGGTAGAATAATGGCAGGATGCCTGGCAGAGAGCTTAGCATTCACTATGTACTTTGTTAATGTTTATTGAGTAAATGTTTGTTGAGTATGTTGCCCTTGGGAAGTTACTTTCACACCCATCACTCCCCTAAGGTCAGTTTCCCTCTAACACCACCATGATAAACAGCCTTTGATCACAACAGGAAGTCATATTGCATTAGACTCAAGAGTCATTCAGCACATCTTCCTTACACTGCCTTCTCATAATAACGAAGAATGCTGACCCATTACATAGACGCAATGATAGCAATCACATTTAGATCCTTATCTTTTTTTTAAATCTGACCATCTCAAAATGGAGGTGATAGGTTCCACACACCTTCCATGTATTTCCAGTTTTAAGAAGCTCTAAGAAGTAGATAATAATTTTTAAAGAAATTACATTAGTTAATAATTGTCCATGACTTGGCTCCTACTGGAGCCTTTCAATTCTCCACGCGTCTGTTCATGGCTGGTCTCCATGTTGCTCTAGCCATGCCTCATTATAGTAATAACCGTCATTTCACATCATCTGATGAACACCATGCACATCATACACACTTCACATCCGTCAGCAAGAATCCTCACATCCACCCTCAAAGGCATTAGTTGTTTCTCATTTTACAGATGTGAAAATTGATAGTCAGAGAAATTAAATAACTTGTCCAAACTCTCTCAACAAGTAAAAAGTTTCTGTCTGACGCTCCAAACGTATACCATCGGGCTCTCTCTCTGTCTGATGTTCAGATTTTTGTCTCTGCCTTTTTCCTCCTGTCATTTCCTCAGTTTGGATCTTCCTTTCTCTCTTTCCTTCAAGGTGCTGCCTTCAGTACAAACCCTTCTCCAACAGTCCAGGCCCCAGGCTCCTCCAAGTACAACTTGCCAATTCCTTGTCTGGGAAGGAAAAAGGAGGGAGAGAGAGAGAAAGTGGTAGAGAGAGATAGAAATGGGGATCATAAGTAAAGCCATTAGGTGCCAGGCATATTGGCTCACACCTATAATCCCAGCACTTTGGGGGGTTGAGGTGGGCAGAAAATCACCTGAGATCAGAAGTTCGAGACCAACCTGGGCAACTTGGAAAACCCTGTCTCTACTAAAAATACAAAAATTAGCCGGTCATGGTGGTACATACCCGTATTCCCAGCTACTAGGGAGGCTGAGGCAGGAAAATCACTTCAACCCAGAAAGTGGAGGTTGCAATGAGCTGAGATGGCGCCACTGCACTCCAGCCTGAGTGACAGAGCGAGACTCCATATCCCCAAAAAAAAAAAAAAAAAAAAAAGGAAGTAAAACCATTAGGAAAGTCAGGAGGTGAGGAGTAGGAGATGAAGAGCCAACTTCAAGAAAAGGAGATGAAATTCTGTCTCCTGCGCCCTTCAGAATGCTGTAGCCTGATGTCACTTTTGAGAGCAGGTAAGGAAGATGGACAAGCAGAGGAAGGAAAGGTGTTGGGTGGAAGATTCTCCTTCACCCAGAAATGGCATCAGCACTCACCAGGACCAGAATCCAGGCTTTGTAGGGCGGGAATGGAGGGTGCCAGCCAATTTCCGTAGCCTCTGCTTCACACAGCTGTGGAATTACTGATTTCTTTGTCCATTTTGTTAATTAAACTAAAAATAATTTGCCATCATCCATCATGCTTTCAAGAGACGATCTTTAGCTATGAGCCTCTGATTTGGAGTAGCAGAGGAAATGCACACTCTGTTAATCAAATTTCAAAAAACGGAATCCAGTGGGACCTTTGGACCAGCAAAGGTGGTTAAAGCATTTATGCCCTGTGGCTGCACTTAGCTGGTGAACCACCTGAGGAAAAGAACTGCTTTGAAAATCTTTACTTCCTGAATCTGTAGAAGAGGCCAGGAGAACTTTCTAAGGATGAGGGTGATGTTCTATATCTTTTTTTTTTTTTTTTTTTTTTGAGATGGAGTCTTGCTCTGTCACCCAGGCTGGAGTGCAGTGGCGCGATCTCAGCTCACTGCAAGCTCCACCTCCCGGGTTCACGCCATTCTCCTATCTCAGCCTCCTGAATAGCTGGGACTACAGGAGCCCGCCACCACACCTGGCTGTTATTGTTATTATTATTATTATTTTTCATAGAGACAGGGTTTCACTGTGTTAGCCAGGAAGGTCTCGATCTCCTGACCTGGTGATCTGCCCACCTCCGCCTCCCAAAATGCTGGGAGATGTTCTATATCTTGATAGAGGTGGTGTTTACACAGATATTTAGCTATCAAGTCATCAGACTGTACACTTAAGATCTGTACATTTTACTGCAGGTAAATTTTACCTTAATATGGCTGATGGAAAGAAGAAGGGAGGGAAGGAAGGAAGGAAGGAGAGGGGAGGGGAGGGAAGGGAGGGAGGGAAGGAAGGAGGGAAGGAAAGAAGGAAGGAGAGAAGGAGGGAAAAGAAACGAACAGAAAGGAAAAGGAAGGGAAGGGAGAGGGAAAGGGGAGGGGAGGGAAAAAGAATCCTCCCACTTCTGTAAACATAGGCTTGCTGTATTAGAAATCCTGGTTCCCACTGGGCAGTGCTTCTGTCCAGGAGCCAGGTAAGGATTCTGCCGCACTGGCTGCTGCAAATGCCACCTGGACACTTTGGGCTGCTCTTACCTGTGGGCCAGCGTGTGTGAAAAGACTAACTGCATGGTGGACTAAGTGACCCTGACTGTCATGAGAAGATGGTGCTGCCACAGGTGTGGATGGGAGGAGAAGATCCGGAATGCGGGGAGTAAGTGGACCTCTCTTGAGGCTTCTCTGCTCCGTGTTGGTGGCAAACAAGAAATTGCAGCCAGTCGGAGCTTCAATGAGAGTGGATAGAAAGGGGTTGCTGTGCTGGGTGGTGAAAAGCCAAGATGACCATCTGAAGGTCAGTCAAAGGCTTCTCACTGAGGAGCTTCCAGGTTTCCTGAAGAGATGTAGCTTGAGAGTCACTTCCTTTCCAAAGGGCAAAGTACGGAACAAGTGACCTATTGTAGAACTAGTCTGAGGGTTTCACCTACATTTGCCATTATCCTGGCACTCCCTCTCCACCTCAGGGCTGCGCCACCTTTTTGTGTCTGTCTGATACAGGCTAATTGGTCTCTGTGTTACATACGCGGAACAGGTTACTGTAACAGGCAGAGACTGCTATGGACATTTCATTAAGGTTGATTCATTCATTTCAATTGGCCAGGAGCATCAGACCGTATCCCAGAACGCTCAGGCATTCTCAAGTGCTAACAAATAATCCCTGTAAATCACTCACTTCCACAAGAGCTTAGAATAAAAATAGAGGTAGAGGAATCTTTCCCCAACTTTTTCCTGATGTTCTTTTCTATTCTAGTGTGATCCTGCTCTGTGTTTTCCAATCTCACCATTCTTGTTCATTGCTGGTTCACTCAGTCCTTTTAAGTCCACAGGTGTAATTGTGCTTACATTCTACTAGAATGGCATCTGATGGCTGGGCTTATCTAAGGCTGAAGTCCCTCAAGGACTTCCCCAATCTCTCTCACACATCAGTAAGAGCCACAGGACTGGCTTTATTATGTGAATTTATTTTGCCTTCTCTTGAAGAATGTCATCCAATGCTTTTTAAAAATTGTATCTTTCAAATGCCGTTTGAAATGGTTATAAGGCATAGAACAATATAAGCTATGGCATTTGCTAATAAGCATTAGCATGCAGCCGTATGCTCCCAAAATACACTGCACTTTCTACAAAGAAGTCAGAGACAGAGTTTATCAAGGATAGATACCATACTTCTTTATTCCCTAATAGCTATAGGTATATCCTTAGGGTTCTATTCTATTTTTATTTTTAAACTCTTAAATATGCAGTCTATTTCATCCCATAAACATATTAAAGACTAAATTTACCACAGGCTGTCAGGCTAGAAAAAGGCAGGCAGGCTCATTAGAAAAAATATTACCCAAATGAAAACTCTGGGCAACAGAATAATAAAGCATGCAGTAAAGCAACACTCTTTAATGTTACTTGATCATTTGGTCACTAATTCCAGAGGATATTTGGTAAAAATGTTCAACAGATAATCTGTTAAATGAGATGAAAGCCTGCGTTTGAGAAATAAAAGTGCTCTCTAAAGTTG